GGAGCCCCCCCCGAGGGGGCCCCCCAGGGGGCCCCCCCCGAGGGGGCCCCCCTGGAGGGGGGGGCCCCCAAGGGGGCCCCCCCCGAGGGGGCCCCCCTGGGGGCCCCCCTGGGGGCCCCCCTGGGGGCCCCCCTGGGGGCCCCCCTGGGGGCCCCCCAGTGGGCCCCTCACCCTGTGGGTATTTCTTGCGGGTCTCAGTTGGGGCTTTTGAGCAGTTTGGCTCTTCACTCGAATTCCGTTTTATCTCTTTCGGGTTTTTGTGTGCCGCCGCTGCACCAGGCCATTTTGCCCAGGGAGGCTCCTGCTGCTGCAGCGCGGTCTGCTGCTGCTGCTGCTGCTGCTGCTGCTGCTGCTGCTGCTGCTGGTGCTGGTGGTTTGCTGCGGGCGCTGCTGGTGGCTGCGGCTGCTGCTTCGCTGCGCTGCTTCGCTGCGCCTGCTGCTGCTTTGCTGCTGGTGGTGCTTTGCTGCTGCTGCTGTTTTGCTGCTGCTGCTGCTGCTAGGGGGAGAGGGGATGTAGGTGGGATAGCTGCTTGCTGCTGCTGCTGCTGCTGCTGCTGCTGCTGCGGGTGTCCGCAGATTCATGCAGCGCCTGCTGCTGCTGCCGCCGCCGCCAGCAGCAGCAGACGCAATGCAGCAGCTGCTGCGGCAGCTCATCGTGCTGAAATTAACACCAGCAGCAGCAACCGGAGCAGCAGCAGCAGCAGCAGCAGCAACTGATGCGGAGACTCACAACCCCGGCGATCAGCCAACAGCGCAGCAGCAGCAGCAGCAGCAGCAGCAGCAGCAACAGGAGCAACAGCAGCAGCAGCTGCTGCTGCCTTCAGTGAAAATACCGCATATGGGGAAGGTCGTGCAGCTAATATCTACTCGGAAAGTCAGCAAACCCTAAACCCTAAAACCTAAACCCTAAACCCTAAACCCTAAACCCTAATTTTTCCGTCTCAAGGCATGATCCTGTCTTTTTGCTCATCTCTCCCCCTCCCTAGGGTTGAGGGTTTAGGGTTTAGGGTTTAGGGTTTATGGTTTAGGGTTTAAGGCGTGGTGTTAAGACCTGAAGGTTGAATGCCTACAGCGTCATGCAGCCACCTCTAGGGTTTAGGGTTTAGGGTTTAGGGTTTAGGGTTTAGGGTTTAGGGTTTAGGGTTTAGGGTTTAGGGTTTAGGGTTTAGGGTTTAGGGTTTAGGGGCTCGGTTTGCCCCGCTTCAAGGTGCTCTAGGGTTTAGGGTTTAGGGTTTAGGGTTTAGGGTTTAGGGTTTAGGTTTAGGGTTTAGGGTTTAGGGTTTAGGGTTTAGGGTTTAGGGTTTAGGGTTTAGGGTTTAGGGTTTGTATTTAGGGTTTAGGGTTTAGGGTTTAGGGTTTAGGGTTTAGGGTTTAGGGTTTAGGGTTTAGGGTAAGGGCTCGGTTTGCCCCGCTTCAAGGTGCTCTAGGGTTTAGGGTTTAGGGTTTAGGGTTTAGGGTTTAGGGTTTATAGGTTTAGGGTTTAGGGTTTAGGGTTTAGGGTTTAGGGTTTAGGGTTTAGGGTTTAGGGTTTAGGGTTTGGAGTTTGGCGTGTAGGAGTGTTTTCGCTGCCATGTGGTGCCTCGGCTGCTGCTGCTGGAGCTGGCTGCAGTAGCAGCAGCAGCAGACGATTTGCTGCTGGAGGTTTTGCGGGGCTTCGGGGGTTTGCTGCTGCCGCCGCTGCGCCCAGCAGCAGCAGCAGCAGCAGCAGCAAAACCCCTTCTTGACGCCCTCAGCCAATTAGCTGCTGCTGAAACCCCACAACCCCTCCCTCCAAACCCTAACACAAAAGATGTTCTTCTTTACCTTTTGAAGCAGCAGCAAATCATTTCGGGGGGCCCCCAAAAGGGGGCCCCCAGCCAGTCTGGGGGGGCCCCCAGGGGGGCCCCCAGGGGGGCCCCCAAGGGGGCCCCCAGGGGGGCCCCCAGGGGGGCCCCCGAGGGGGGGGCCCCCCTTGGGGGGGCCCCCAGTGGGGATTTGTGTGATAGAGAAAGGATTCGTTTGGAGACAGAGTTGAGCAATTTGTGTTTGGATTTAATTCGGGAGCTGCAGCAGGAGCGGCAGCAGCAGCTGCAGCAGCTGCAGCAGCAGCAGCCGAAGGACTTTCTTTTCCTGCAGCGGCAGCTTTGCTTCGACGCCGTCAATAATATCATTTACTTGAAGAGACACAAACCGCGCGCGCCCCAAGCAGCAGCAGCAGAAGCAGCAGCAGCAGCAGCAGCAGCAGAAGCAGAAGCAGCAGCAGCAGCAGCAGCAACTGGAGCAGCAACTGGAGCAGCTGCTGCAGCGCCTCAGGAGGAAAAGGACGATGCAGATAAGGAGCACAAGTACCTCCCCATAAATCCGCAGGCAAGCTCCAGAGCCTAGGGTTTGGGGTTTGGGGTTTAGGGTTTAGGGTTTAGGGTTTAGGGTTTAGGGTTTGGGGAGGATCTGCGGCCATACGTGCTGCGCGAGTGTCGAAATGGAGCTATTTGCGCCGCTTTTTCGGGCTTTTTGGATAAAATTAAATGCAATTTAATAAAATTAAATAAATTGGAATTAATTTGAATTAAAATGGAGCAATTTGGCCGCTTTTGGAGCACTTTTGGCCGCAGGACCGCAACCGGCGGGCGCTGGGCGGCTGCTGGACGACGGGGGCTGTTGCTGCGCTGGGGTGTACGTACACTGCAGCAGCAGCAGCAGCAGCAGCAGCAGCAAAAAGCAAATTAGAAAATTTAAATGAATTGCTGCAGCCGCTGCTGCCAGCAGCAATTCAAGCAGCACATTTCCTCGATGTTCTCCAGGAAAGTCTTTAGTTCTTCTGTTTATTTCTTTTGATTTGTTTTAATTGTTTTATTTCTTTTAATTTGTTTTAATTCTTTTATTTCTTTTAATTTGTTTTAATTTATTTAATTCTTTTGATTTGTTTTAATTGTTTTATTCTTTTAATTTGTTTTAATTGTTTTATTTCTTTTGATTTGTTTTAATTGTTTTATTTCTTTTAATTTGTTTTAATTCTTTTAGTTCTTTTGATTTGTTTTAATTCATTTTATTTGTTTTGATTTATTTTAATTCTTTTAATTCTTTTAATTTGTTTTAATTCATTTAGTTTCTTTTAATTTGTTTTAATTTATTTTATTTCTTTGGATTTGTTTGAATTGTTTTATTTTTTTTATTTTGTTTGAATTCTTTTAATTCTTTTAATTCTTTTGGCTCTTTTATTTATTTTATTTCTTTTAATTTATTTTATTTTGTTTAATTCGTTTTAATTTTTTAACTCTTTGAATTTATTTTAACTCCCTTTGATTCGCTTTTACTCTTTTTTTTAATTCTTTTAATCATTTTGATTCTTTTAATTCATTTTATTTCTTTTTGTTTTTAATTCTTTTAACTGCTCTTAATTTTCAATTCTTTTTAATTCTTCTCAATTCTTTTTATTCTCTTTATTTCCTTTTGTTTTATTCTTTTTAATCCCTTTTATTTCTTTATTTTGATTTTTTCCAATCCTGTTTTATTCTTTTTAGTTTTTTTAATTCTTTTAGTTCTGTTTCTTTTAATTCTTTTTGTTTTTAATTCTTTTTACCTCTTGATTCTTTTTAGCTTTTTACTTCTTTTAAATTTAATTTTCTTCTCATTTTAATTATCTCTTTAGTTTAATTATCTTTTCAATTTAATTATCTTTTCGATTTAATTGTCTTTTGATTTAATTATCTCTTTAATTTAATTATATTTTCAATTTAATTATCGTTTCAATTTAATTATCTTTTCAATTTAATTCTCTTTTCATTTTAATTATCTTTTGATTTAATTAGCTTTTGATTTAATTATATCTTTTTTAATTGTCTTTCAATTCAGTTATTTTTTTAATTCAATTATCTCGTCTTTTAATTATCTCTTAGTTGAATTCTCTTTTTAATTTTATTTTCTTTTTAATTATCTTTTATTCAAATTATCTTTTTATTTTAATTATCTTTTATTTAGATTATCTTTTTTTTCCTTTTATATATCTTATTTGAATTATCTTTTTTTTTCTTTTTAAATACCTTTTCTTTAAATTATCTTTTTATTTTCGTTTCAATTTTTTTAATTTGTATTATCTTTTTGAATTAATTTTCTTTTTGAATTTTTCGCCTTTTGAATTATCTTTTCGATTCAATTATTTTGTTTGATTTCGTTTTATTTAATTATTTTATTTAATTTTCTTCTTTATTTAATTTCGCTAATTTAATTTTCTTTTTATTTTAAATTAATTATCTCCTTTAAGTCAATTACATTTTTTTAATATTTATTTCTTTCAAATAAATTACCTATTCTAATTAAATTAAATATATATTTTTAATTAATTTTCTTTTTAATTATTTTATTCCTTTTTTTTAATCATCTCTTTACGAGTCTATCTTTGCTGCTGCTTCCTTAAAGTAGACTTTTAGTGTTTGACCTTCTAGGGTTTAGGGTTTAGGGTTTAGGGTTTGGGGGCTAGGGTGTCAAGGGTTTAGAGCTAAAAGATTCCACGGGTTTAGGGTTTCAAGATCCTAGTGCCCCAAGGACCCAGGGTTTAGGGTTTAGGGTTTAGGGTTTAGGGTTTAGGGTTTAGGGTTTAGGGTTTAGGGTTTGCAGGCTGCGGGCTACCACGCGGCCTTCGCGCGCAGCAGCAACTGGGCGCTGCCGCAGCTGCGCAACGACGGCAGCATGTGTCTCAAAGTCCGGGACTTGACTCCCTACTACCTTCCCAGAAGCAGCAGCAGCAGCAGCAGCAGCAGCAGCGGCAGCAGCAGCAGCAGCAGCGGCAGCAGCAGAAGCCGCAGCAGCAGCGGCAGTGGCAGCAGCAGCAGCAGCAGCAGCACCAACAGCTGCAGTGGCAGCAGCAGCAGCAACAACAGCGGCACCAGCAGCAGCAGCAGCAGCAGCAGCAACAGCAGCAGCAGCAGCAGCAGCAGCAGCAGCAGCGAGGCTTCTTCTGTGTCTTTTGACTTGGATGGCTTGTTCATTTTGACTGGAGAAAACATGGCGGGCAAAAGCACTCTTTGCAGATCCACGCTGGCGCTCGCGCTGCTAGCCAACGCAGGCAACTCCAAACCCTAAACCCTAAACCCTAAACCCTAAACCCTAAACCCCGATTAGGGGTTTGGTTTGAGCTCTGCGGGCAGCTTCTCCAGCTGCAGAGGCCGCAGCGGAGGCAGCAGCCCTCAAACCCTAACCCCTAAACCCTGAACCCTGCTGCTGCTGTTGCTGCTGCTGCCGCTGCTGCTGCTGCTGCTGCTGCTGCTGCTGCTGCTGCAGGACTGTGCTGCCCGTGCAGCCCTGAAACAGCAGTGCCTCGCTACCAAGCCTTTCTGTCTCTTTCTCATGTTGCTTTTGATTCTCCTCAAGAACAAAAGTCCTTTTTCTTGTCTGAGGCGCAGCAGCTCAGCGCCGTGCTGCGCCAAACCCTTGCTGCTGTGGGGCCAGCAGCCAGCAGCAGCAGCAGCAGCAGCAGCAGCAGCAGCAGCAGCAGCAGCAGCAGCGGCGGCGGCGGCGGCGGCGGCGGCAGCGGGTGCAGCGGCCTGCCTAACAGCAGCGCAGCAGAGCAGGCAGCAGCAGAGGGAACTGCAGCAGAGGAAGCAGCAGCTGGCGGAACCCCAGCAGCAGCAGCAGCAGCAGCAGCAGCAGCAGCAGAGGGAACAGCAGCAGAAACAGCAGAAACCGCAGCAGGGGAACTGGCGGCAGAAACAGAAGGCCAAACAGCAGCAGCAGCAACGGCAGCAGCAGAGGGACCAGTAGCAGCAGCAGAAGACGACACTGCAGCAGCAGGTGTTGCAGAGGGAGCAGCAGCAGCAGCAGAGGGAACAGCAGCAGCCGCTGCAGAGGGAACAGCAGCAGCAGCAGCAGCAGCAGAGGAGGGAACAGGAGAGGCAGCAGCAGCAGCAGCAGCAGAGGAGGGAACAGGAGAGTCAGAAGAAGCAGCAGCAGCAGATGAAGGGACAGCGGCAGCAGCCGATGAATCAGCAGCAGCAGCAGCAGCAGCAAACGAAGCAGCAGCAGCAGCAGCAGCAAATAAATCAACAGCAGCAGCAGCAGCAGCAGCAGGGGACTTAGTGTCTCGCAGCTTTTTGATCCTTGACGAGCCCTGCAAGGGAACAGCGCCGAGCTGCGGAGCAGGTCCATAATATAAATAAATAAATAAATAAATAAATAAATAAATAAATAAATAAATAAATAAATAAATAAATAAATAAATAATAATGAATAAATAAACAAATAGTAAATAAGTGGACTTTAAACGAGAAAGAAAGAAGCAAAATCAAGAGATGAATATTCATAAAGCTGCTGCTGCTGCTGCTGCTGCTGCTGCTGCTGCTGCTGCTGCTGCTGCTGCTGCTGCTGCTGCTGCTTTCTTTGATGGCATTAACAGGCAAAGAACTCATTCAATTTGAACTATTTAATTAATTATTTATTTATTTATTATTTATTTATTTATTTATTATTTATCATTTATTTATTTATTTATTTATTTATTTATTTATTTATTTATTTATTTATTTATTTATTTATTTGCTGCAGCGCTGCTGGGGGCGCTGCTGGAGCGGCTGGCAGCTGTGAGGGCGCAGGGCATTGTATCAACACATTTGCACCGGGAGCTGCAGCAGCTGCTGCTGCTGCACCTGCTGCTGCTGCTGCTGCACCTGCTGCTGCTGCTGCTGCTGCTGGTGCTCTCACCTTTAAGCAGGTCAGGAGACGCCGCGCTGCAGCAGACACGGCGCTCTGCGACGCAGACAGACAGCTGCTTGGTGGCTGCCAGCAGCAGCAGCAGCAGCAGCAGCAGCAGCAGCAGCAGCAGGTCGGAAGATCGCAAGAAGGCTTCGCAGCCAGCTCCGACTCGCTGGCAGCTGACCCAGCAGCAGCAGCAGCAGCAGCAGCAGCAGAGGCAGCAGCAGCAGCAGACGAATACAAATATGAATTAATCGACGGAGTCTGCACTTATTCAAATGCTCTTCAAGCAGCAGCAGCAGCAGGATTTCCACAAGACATCATAGACAGGGCCCGAGTGCTGCGGCAGCAACTGACGAACGTGCAGCAGCAGCAGCAGCTGCTGCTGCTGCAGCAAGTGAAGCAGCAGCAAGAGCAGCAGCGGCAGCAGCGAGGGCAGCAGACGCAGTCAGAGGACGAGGCCCCGCAGAGGGAGCGACAGCAGCAGCACGAGCTGCAGCAGCAGCACGAGCTGCAGCAGCAGGAGCCCCAGCAGCAAGACCAGCTGCAGCAGGGCAGTGCAGCAACAGCAGCAGCAGCAGCAGCTTCCGAGGCCTCCAAGGCTCGCGTTGCTGCTGCTGCTCAATTCCAGCGAAAGGTGGAGGCCCTGACGCAGCTGCTGCGCCGAACAGCAGCAGAAACCAGCAGCAGCAGCAGCAGCAGCAGCAGCAGCAGCAACTCGTTTCCCGTGGTTTCTTTGCCTGCGTTCCCTCCGCAGCTGCTGCCGCCCCCCGCGTTTGCTGGGGCTGCATGCGTTTTGCTGCTGGTGGCAGCAGCAAGGAGTTCGCAGAAGCAGCAGCAGCAGCAGCAGCAGCAGCAGCAGCAGCAGCAGCAGCAGGCGCTGCGGGGAGCTGTCTGTACACCCGACGGGGGGGAAGTGTGGGGCCCCACAGGCTGCTTTCGGGTGTACGTGGGAGCAACAGCAAACATCAGCAGCAGTTTGCTGCGGCTGAAGCAAAACCCTCAGTTTGCTGCTGCTGCTGCTGCAGTGCTGCTGGCAGCAGATGTGGCCCACGCCCGCAAGACGCAGCAGCAGCTCAAAGCAGCACTTAAGAGAGACCCTTCTGTGGCTCTTCTCCCCTACAGACACAAACCCTAAACCCTAAACCCTAAACCCTAAACCCTAAGTCCTAAGCAGCAGCTCGGAATAGAGAGCCTTCTGTGGCTTTTCTTCTCAGCAGACACAAACCCTATACCCTAAACCCTAGGCAGCAGCTCTCGGAAAAGATCTTTTCTGCCTTTTCTCTTCAACTGACGCAAACCCTAAACCCTAAACCCTAAACCCTAAACCCTAGAGAGGGAGAAACGCAAACCCTCAAGGCCCCGGGAAACGTCTGTTTGTGCTGTATGTACACCTCATGCATGCGTTTAGGGCGTGCAGATAAAATAAAATAAAATAAAATTTAAATTTAAATTTAAATTTAAATTTATTTTATTTTCTTTTATTTGAAGAAATAAACACTCTTTTGCGCAAATCTACTTTTCTCTTTTCACTTTTATTACTTTTATTTTGCTGCTAAACCCTCGCGCTTCAGTTTTAAATAAAAACCCCAAAACCCTAAAAAAGCGAGGGTTTAGGGTTTACGGAAGGGCCTAGGGTTTAGGGTTTACGGAAGGGCCTAGGGTTTAGGGTTTACGGAAGGGCCTAGGGTTTAGGGTTTACGTTAGGGTCTAGGGTTTAGCGAAGGGCTTAGAATATAGAGAAGGGCCAAGGGTTTACAGAAGGGTTTAGGGTTTCGAGTTTACTGAAGGGCTAGGGTTTAGGGTTTACTCAAGGTCCTAGGGTTTACAGAAGGGTCTAGGGTTTAGAAGAGGGTTTAGGGTTTACGCGAGGGTTTAGGGTTTACGTCTCATCCCGTATCCGAAGGAAACAGCTCTGCATTATTTACTTCATTACGCATTGCTGCTGCTGCCGCTAGTGCTGCTGCTGCTGCTGCTAGTGCTGCTGCTGCTGCTGCTGCTGCTGCTGCTAGTGCTGCTGCTGCTGCTGCTGCTGCTGCTGCTGCTGGTGCTGCTGCTGCTGCATGGCGAGTACTTACACCGGAGGAAAGCGAATCTGGAAGCGGAAAACTAAATAAACCCTAGACAAATAAATAAATAAATAAATAAATAAATAAATAATAAATAATAAATAAATAAATAGTAAATAAATAATAAACAAATAAATAAATAAATAATAATTAAATAAATGATAAAGAGGTCTCGCTGCGATTTCTGCTGCTGGGGGCATCAGCAGCCAAGGCTGGGAAGCAGCAAAATGGGATTTTGGAAATAAATAAATAAATAAATAAATAAATAAATAAATAATTATAATTAAAATTAAATATAATTAAATATAATTAAATACAATTAAATACAATTAAACACAATTAATTATAATTAAATGTAATTAAATACAATTAAACATAATTAAATACAATTAAATATAATTAATAACAATTGAATAAACCAAATACAATTAAGTGCTAATTAATTGCAACTAAATACAATTAAAAGATAACTAAATACAACCAAATACAAACCAACTAAACACAATTAAATATATTTAAATGCAATTACAATTTAATTAATTGCAATTAATTGCAATTAAATGCAATTACATTTTAATTAATTGCAATTAATTGCAATTATAATTGCAATTAAATGCAATTAATTGCAATTAATTGCAATTAAATGCAATTAATTGCATTCAAATGCATTTAATGCAATTAAATACAATCAAATACAATTGAACACTAACTAAATGGAATTAATTGCAATTAATTGCAATTAAAAACTAATTAAATGCAATTAATTGCAACTAAAGCAATTAATTGCAATTGAGTACAATTCAGTGCATTTAAATGCAATTATTTGCATTTAAATGCAATTAAATGCAATTAAATAAAGAACTAAAAGAGAAAAAATAAAAAAGAAAGAAACTGGCGGACAGCAGCAAAGAACAAACTTGCTTCTGCGGGCTGCATGCAAAAGAGGACTTTTTGGGAATTGTTTGAAAGTTTTTGAAGAAACAAATGCCATTAAATGCCATTAAATGCCATTAAACGCAATTAAATGCAAATAAATGTAATTAAGTGCAATTAAATGCAATTAAATGCAATTAAATGAAATTAAATGTAACTGAATGCCATTAAGCGCAATTAAATGCCATTTAAGTGCCATTAAATGCCATTAATTTCCTTTAATTCGCACTAAATGCCATTAGTTGGCATTACTTGCCATTAAATGGCATTAAATGCCATTAAATGGCATTAATGGCATTAATGGCATTAATGGCATTAATGGCATTAATGGCATGCAGCAGCAAAGTCTGTAATGTCGAAATTCCCAAAGTCGGATTTTCTTTGCAGGTTCTACACACTTGGAGTGTATTTACACTCCAGAACTGCTGGACACTGGGCAGCTGAACTACTTCGGCATTTAATTTGCCTTTTAGACTTTTTGTTTTTTATTTTATTTTATTTTTAAATCTATTTCACTTCTCTCTAGCTCTCGAAGCTGCACTAGTTCGTCTTTCTAAACATCACTTCCACGTTCTCCGCGACACTGCAGCAGCAGCAGCAGCAGCAGCAGCAGCAGCAGCAGCGGGAACATGAAATGCGCAGCAGGAACGCGAGAAGAACGAGAAAAATATGAATTGCATGCAGTGGAATTGGAGGATAAATGAAATAAAGGAATAAATGGAATAAATGGAATTAAAATGTCGAAATAAACGAAAGAGAGCGCCGCTGGCAACGGGCAGATGGACTGAGCGAAGACACCTGAGCGCCACAAGCAGCAGAGGCCGGGGGAGTGGAAACAGTCCACAAATGCAGGAAACTCGGGGAAAACGAAAGCCTAAATGCAAAAGAATATCACTGAATGCACTTTAATGCAATTTAATTAACTTTTGCACGAAAAAGAAACTCGCGCAGCGCCGGGGTGTATCGACAGCTACAGACAGCTGCTTGCTGCGCGGGCGCGCAGCAAGCAGCCCGCTGTCGATACACCCCGCGCCGCCGCCGCGCCCGCCGTCGAGTCCGCGAAAATCACTTTAATTCAAAATTAAAACTTGAATTCGTCTCCGAATTGAAATTTGCATTTCAGAGTTGTCCGAAAGAGCTTGAAAAGCCGCCGGGGGCGCCGGCGGAGGTGCCGGATCGGGGTCCCGGGGGGGGGCGTGAGGGCGTGCGATCTCGGGCAATTCGCGGTGGAATTTCGCGATTTTTGGCGCCATTGAAAGGTAAAATGCGAATTAAAAGCATTTGCGAAGTTTGGCGGCGAAAGCGCGCGAAAAACCCGCGAGATCAGCACTTGCGGCGTCTGCGGCAGTCGACGAAGGGAATGCAGGCGGCCAAGCTGCCTATACACTCCAGCAGCGCGCGGGACCAAGAACCCCCCCGCGGCTCCACAAAGAGAAATGTGAGAACTGCAGCAGCAAAAGAAGGAGCAGCAGCACAAAGCATAGCAGCAGGAAGTCCCCAGGAGTTGAGAGCAGCTTTAATCAAGTAGATCCCGGCCACCGCCCCCAGCTTCCCCATGGCCGCAGAAAGCCCCGCGTAAGTGGCCCGCACTGCAGCGGGAAAAACCACAGAAGGAAGGATGAAGGTGGTGATGCTGGCGCCCCAATTGATGAAGAAGTTAACTGCTGCCAGCAGCGCGAGGAGGCACCAGCCGTGTGCTGCTGCTGCTGCTGCTGCTGCAGCAGCAGCAGCAGCAGCAGCAAGCGCCAGCGAAGACACGCCCAGGAAAAAGAAGCCCCAGAACTGCAGCCACTTCACCCCCATTTGCCGCAGCACCAAAATGCCCATATAGCAGCCGGGAAAGCCCACGAGATTGAGAACTATGTTCTGAAATATCACCGAGTTCACGCTGCTGCTGCTGCTGCTGCTGCTGCTGCTGCTGCTGCTGCTGCTGCTGCTGCTGCTCCAGAGGTGCTGCGTGAGCTCTGGCTGCACCAGCAGCACCCCGTAGGCCGTGACGTCGTAGAGAAACCAACAGACTCCAGTGCCGAGCAGCAGCAGCAAGTGGCTTTTGTCTTTGAAGGCAGCAGCAAAGCGCCGCGTGCGTTCCCTGCTGCTGCTGCTGCTGCTGCTGCTGCTGCTGCTGCTGCGCTGCTGGCAGCAGGCATGCAGCCACACGCACATCGCCGGAAGCGCGCCAAAAGCCAACAAAGCCCTGAAAGTTATTTCTGGATTTTGTTTGGAAAGTTTCCAAAAAAGAAGAGAAAGCAAATAAGGAAAAAGAATGCCAGGAACGTTCATGGAATAAGCAAAGGAGACGCGGAGACACTTGTGGCTGCGCTTGCTGCTGCTGCTGCTCTCAGCAGCAGCAACAGCACTCAGCGGGTAAACCCCCCCGGCCCCCACCCCCAGCAAAAAGCGAAAAAGGCCCAGCAAACTCAAGCAGCAAAAGGGGGGCCCCCAAGTCAAGCAGCTGCTGCCGAGGGCCCCCAGGGCCACCAGCAGCAAAGTCAGCAGCAGCGCGGGGCCCCTTCCTGCTGCGTCTCCCAAGAAGCCCATGAGGCTCATGCCGGCGATGGCCCCTGCGTAGGAGAGCATCTTCAAGCTGCTGCTGCTGCTGCTGCTGCGCTGCAGCAGCAGCGCGAAACGAGGGTCTTGCTGCAGCACGAAGAGGGCTATGGAGGTCACCACGAAGTTGTAGTTGCTGCTGAACACTGCCACGCAGGGAACCAACAACGATTCCTTCCGGCCCTCATCTTCTGCTGCTGCTGCTGCTGCTGCTGCTGCTGCTGCTGCGGAGGCGGGCGGCGATGCGTCGAAGGAAGACGCAGACGACGACGCTTCTGCTGCTGCTGCTGCTGCTGCAGTCAGGCACGGCAGCACGCAAGACACGCCGGACGCTGCTGCTGCTGCTGCTGCTGCGCATGGACGCTCGCCTGCTGCTGCTGCTGCTGCTGCTGCGGGGGAGTTGGAGGCGCTCGCGGCGGAAGTGGGGGGCAGGCTGAAGCTCTTCCGCGGGCTCGACGACGAAGCGGCAGCAGCAGCTGCTGCTGCTGCTGCTGCTGCTGTTGCTGCTGCTAGTTGCTGCTCCTTCGGAGGCGGCGGGTACAGCACCAGCTGCTCACTTGTGGGGTCTGCTGCTGCTGCTGTCTCCAGAGACACCTTGGCGGTCTCCGCCCAGCTGGGGGACTGCCGCAGCGGCTGCTTCTCAGCCTCCATTTTGAGGGAAAAGGCTGCAGCAGCAGCAGCAGCAGCAGCAGCAGCAGCGGGAGCAGCAGCAGGAGCAGCAGCGGCGGCGGCGGGGACGCAGGGGGAGGCGGCGCCGCCAGCAGCAGCAGCAGCAGCAGCAGCAGCAGCAAAGGGAAGGGAGTCGGGGGGCGGCGGAGCGGGGGGCCTGGCGGAGGCGGGAGAAAGGGAATGTGCTGCTGCAGCCGCTGCTGCTGCTGCTGCTGCTGCTGCTGCTGCTGCGGAGTCGCGGCGCAGGGGAGCCCCGTCTGCTGCTCTGGCAATTAAGTTTTGCTGCTCGAATTGCTGCAGAGGAAAAGGAGAAGAAATGGTTTTGATGGCGGGCGAGAGGCGCCCCAAAGACAGGCGGGCCATTGAGGGGAGCCCGGAGCAGCAACTGGGTTCCAGTTGGGGTCCTGGAGGCCCCAAAAGACGGAAATAAAGCCGCAAATATAATTAATTTGAATTATTTTATTCTTTTCCGCTTTTTTTTCTCCCTTTCGAGCTCCGCCGCGGCCTTTTCCGCCGCGCTCACCGCCGCAACGCTCAGCTGCTGCAGCAGCACCCGCTGCCGCCTGTACGTACACCCCAGCGCCCTCCCCCCTTTTCTTTTCTTTTCTTTTCTTTTCATTTCTTTTCTTTTCTTTTCCTTTCCTCCAAACCCTCGGCTTTGCGGCGCCTCGGCAGCAGCAGCTGCCGCCGCGCAGCGCCGACCGCCCGCGCCGCCAAACCCTAAACCCTAAACCCTAAACCCTAAACCCTAAACCCTAAACCCTGCTAGTTCCACTTAAACAAGTTCAGTTCCTTGCCAGCCCTCGCTGCGCCAGCGCAGCAGCGCCCCAGACACGCGCCACGGGTGTCTGCGGGCGGGGGTCCTCCCAACCCCAAACCCTAAACCCTAAACCCTAAACCCTAAACCCTAAGCCCTTCGGCGTCCGCCGGGGCGCCTCTGCTGCGCGGCCCGCGGCCCGCCCGCTGCCGCTGCAGCGGCAAATAAAAAGAAAGAACGGGCGGCAAAAGCCCGGGCGCTGCCGCAGCAGCAGAACTCATGCGATGGGCAGCAGGTCTTCGCTGCTGCTGCGCGCGTCCCCTGCGTCTGGGAGCAGCAGCAACTGCTGCTGCTGCTGCTGCTCTGCTGCTGCTGCTGCTTGCTGCTGCTGCTCTGCGTCCTTGAGGCTGGCCTCGTTTGCTGCAGCAATCAGCAGCGCGAAAGCCACGAAGGCCAGCCCGATGCTGCCGGCGCCGCCGCCCTCTCCCCTTAAAGCATCTGCTGCTGCAGCAGCAGGAAGGGAAAGGAAGAAGCAAAAGGCCACGAGAAGGGGGGAAGGCAGCAGCAGCAGCGCGAGCTGCAGCAGCAAGCAGTAGGCTGCGCTGCAGCAGCAGCTGAGCAGCAGCAGGAAGGCCACGAGGGGCGAGGGGCAGCCGGCGGGCGGCGCCTCCCAGCCGAGCAGCAGCAGCAGCAGCAGCGGCAGCCACAGCAGCAGCAGCGCAGCAGCTCCCATGAGCCCCGAGACCAGCAGCTCGAACAGCGGCGGGTGGCTGCTGCGCTGCTGCAGCAAATAAAACTTGTACAGCACTTCGAACAGCCCGTAAGCAGCAGCAGCAGCAGCAGCAAAAGCAACTCCAGCAGCAGACTGGGGCTCGCCCTGGTTGCTGTAGGCGATGAGGGCCACGCCCAGCGAGCCCAGCAGCAGCGCCACGGCCTGCTGCGCTGCTGCTGCTGCTGCTGCTGCTGCTGCTGCTGCTCTGCTGCAGCAGCAGCTAAACACAAACACGAACAGAGGGTTTGTGCTGTAAACTGCAGTTACAGCCGAAATGCTCATTCCCCGAAACCCCACAGCCACCCCCCAACACCACCCCTGTAGGGTGTACAGACAGCTCAGCAGCAGACACCCCACAAACACTTGCTGCAGTCCTTCGTACTGCAGCTCCTGTAGATACACCTCGACGCACCAGTAGCTCCTCCGCGCCTCCCGCCACACCGCTGCTGCTGCTGCTGCTGCTGCTGCTGCTGCTGTTGCGGGGCGGCGGGGCGGCGGCGGGGGGGCTGCTGCTGCTGCTGCTGCTGCTGCTGCTGCTGCTGCAGCAGCAGCAAGCTCCAGGTCTTCTTCGGCCGCGGCTTTGCTGCTGCCTTCCGGCGGCATCAGCGCCGCGTACAGGCCTTCGCTTTCCTCCGCCAAGGAGCTGCTGCTGCTGCTGCTGCTGCTGCTGCTGCTGCTGCAGGCGGCCCGCATGTCCTGCATGCTGATGAGGCGGCACTGCTGCTGCTGCTGCTGCTGCTGCTGCTGCTGCTGCTGCTGGGGGCTGTACTTTTGTTTGATGAGGTGAACTGCAACAAAAAGAAAAACTATTTGGCAAACTTGAGGGACCCAAACCATCAAATAAGGGACTCGGAGGTTTTCCGCGAGGGGCTGGGGTGTACGTACACCGCAGCCCGCGGCCCCGGGGCAGCCCTGCTGCTGCTGCTGCTGCTGCTGCTGCTGCTGCTGCAGCACGCGCGTCAGCACCCCGTTGGTGAGGTACAGCAGCACGTTGATGCAGCAGCACAACAACCCCACCAGCAGCGACTCCTTAGAAGTTCCTGCGTAGCGGTGCAGCAGCGGCGGCAGCAGCGAGAGCGAAGGCAGCAGCTGCAGCAGCCCGGGGGCCTCCTCTGCTGCTGCTGCTGCTGCTGCTGCTGCTGCTGCTTCTGCGTCTGCAGCAGCGGCGGCGGCGCTGCTGCTGCGGCTCGCGCGCCGCGAGTGCGCCGCGGCGCCGCCCGCTGCTGCTGCTGCTGCTGCTGCTGCTGGTGCTGCTGCTGCTGGCAGCAAAGGCTCTGCAGCAACAGCAGCAGCAGCAGCCGTGTCTGTACTCCCCGCAGCAGCGAGGGAAGAACCGGCCCCCAGGGGCTCGAAGAAAGCCATCCTGCTGCTGCTGCTGCTGCTGCTGCTGCTGCATCCCCCAGCAGCAAACTCCAGCTCTCAGCAGCAGCTTCACTTATTTGTTTTTGCTTTTGAGGCCCTTTGGGGGCGAGGGGGGCTGCGGAGGGCCGGGCGCTTGCGCAGCATCGAAGCTGCTGCTGCTGCTGCTGCTGCTGCTGCTGCTGCTGCTGCTGCTGCTGCTCTGCAGCGCGGGCCAAAAAGGCTTTTGAAAGAAAATAAAGAAATAAAAATACTTTTAATTTCTTCGAAAGTTCAAAAAGAAAAAAAAGTCCGCAACAATCGACGCTGCGACCCGCCGCGGCTGCCGGCGCTGCCGACAGATGCAGCTGCGCTGCTGCTGCTGCTGCTGCTGCTGCTGCTGCTGCTGCTGCAGCAAGTTCGTGCTGCTGTGCTGCAGCTGCTGCTGTGCTGCAGCTGCTGCAGTGTTGAACCGGAGCGTTTTCTGCACTTGATCGTTGGAAAGGATCGGTTCCCATTTGTAGATCCTTTTATGTTTTTTAAAGGCCAGAGGAGTTTAAATAAGTGAAAAGTGATGTTTGAACTTGAAAAGAACCTCAAAGAAGACAAAAAGAGGAACAAAACGTTTTTTCTGAACAGTTGCCGGCGCTTGCCCCGGCGGCGCGTTCCCGGAGGTGTCGATACACCCGAAAAGCGGGTTTTTGAATTCTGAACGAACTGAAAAGCTTTTCAGTTTTTTTGGGAATTTGAATTTGAAATAAAGCCCCGAGTGAAGAATGATTGTTTTATTTCTGATTTGTTGTTTATTTGCTTCTCGTTTGGAGTTTTCGCTCGGCGCGGAGCGCCGGCGCGGCCGCGGGTCGGGCCGGAAACTCGGGGGAGAAAGCGCTTTTTCGGAGCTTTCTTCGGGCCTTTCGAACTCTGCAGAGTTTGCTGGTGATTAATTTTGAATATTTTTGAATAATTTGAATTTGAATTTGAATTTGAATTGCAAAAGTGGAAAGATCGGCGCGAATTCCCTCAGGGGAAGCTGCGAGGCTGCCGTGCCGCGACTGGTCGGCGCGGCTGAAAGCCGAGCGATCTCGGCTGTTGCAGGTGGAAAAAAAGAGTTTTTGAATTCTTTTTGAATTCTTTTTTGCATTTTATTTCTTTTTGCTTTTTTTAAATTCAGGAAATGGGACTTTTGGCGGCGAACTCGCAGCGCACTCGCCGGGCGCTGGAGGGCGCCGTGGGCGGCGCCCTGGTGTTGAATTTGCTGCGCGAAGACCAGAAATGGGTCACTGACGAAAGCATTAAAGGTTTGTGTTGAAGTTTAAACAATTGTTTTATTTATTTATTTATTTATTTATTTATTTATTTATTTTATTTATTTAATTCCTTTATTTCAAACAAATTCAGAAATGATCCGCAGAGAACGCGAGCAGCTCCAGGTGCGCCTCCAACTTGAACGCCGCTGCGGTGTCTGCGCAGACACCCGAAAGCCAGGCCAAGCTGTCGAAGCAAATTCGCAAAAACGCAAAAGACATAAAAAGCGAAACTGAAGAAGTTCTCGAGCAGCAGCAGCAGCAGCAGGGCGGTGAGCAGCAGCAGTTCAAGAAGCAATCAATTCTTTTTCTTTTATTTTTCTTTCTTTAAAAACAGCCCCTTGTGCTCCCGGAAAAAAGAAAGTCATTGTCGTCGAAGAAGGTCTGCTGCTGCTGCTTGCTGCTCTGCTGCTTCTGCTGCTCAGTTCCCCCCGCAGCAGCCCCTGAGGAGCACCGCAAGGAGCAGCAGCAGCAGCAGCAGCAGCAGCAGCAGCAGCAGCAGCAGCCGCAGGTGCAGATAATACCGTTTCCGGTTCCTGTGGGGCCGCAGGGAAAAGGAGAAGCAGCAGAAGAAAAGATTTTTGAAGAAGCAGCAAAAGAAGAAAAAGAAGAACTGCAGCAAAAGGCGCAGCAGCAGCAGCAGCAGCACGTGCTTCCTGCTGCTGCTGCAGCAGAAGAACGAATTGCTGCAGAGGAAAGGGAAGCAGAAGAAGAAGAAGAAAAGGAAAAAGAAGAAGAAGAAAAAGAAACAGAAAAAGAAGAAAAAGAAAAAGAAAAAGAAAAAGAAGAAAAAGAAAAAGAAAAAGAGGAAAAAGAAAAAGAAAAAGAAGAGGAAGCAGAAGCAGCAGAAGAAGCCGAAGCTGCTGCTGCAGCAAAAGCAGAAAAGGAAGAAAGAGAAACGCCAGAAGAAGAAGAAGAGGAGGTGGTGGGGCCCGTTGCTGCTGCTGCTGCTGCTGCTGCTGCTGCTGCTGCTGCTGCTGCTGTGTTGCTGCTTTGGTGCTGCTGCTGCTGCTTCTGCTGCTGCTATGCTTTGCTGCTGCTGTGCTGTTGCTTTGCTGCCGCTTTCCCGCTTCTGTGTTGCTGCTTTGCTGCTTTTTTTAAAAAATAAAATTTGAATAAAATAAATTAAATAAATTAAATTGAATTTAATTTATTCCAACTGCTGCAGATTGTGGGGCCCCCGAGCCCCCCAGAGAGAGGCCCATCTGAAGAAGTAAAGAAAAATAAAATTAAAATTAAAATTAAATGAAACCAAAATTGAAATTATTTTTTGAACTGCAGCAGCAGCAGCAGCAGCAGCAGCAGCAGCAGCAGCGGGAGGCAGCGGAAGAGCGACGGAGGAGTCGAGAAAAGGAAAGAGAATTTGAAAAGAAAAAAAAAGAAATTGAAAAAGAAATAAAAAAAGAAATTAAAAAAGAAATTCAAAAAGAAGAAAAAGAAGTCCTCGAGATCCCGCCCCCGAAGATATCCCCCGAGGTCTTTTGCAAATAAAAAGTTAAAAGAATTTAATTTAATTAATTTAATTAATTTAATTTAATTTGTTTAATTTAATTTAATTGATTTGATTTAATTAATTTAATTTAACTTAATTTAATTTAGTTAATTAACATAATTCAATTAATTTAATTTGCTTTAATTATTTTAATTTAATTGTAATGAATTTAATTCAGATTAATCCAATTTAATTTAATTTAATAAATGCTATGTTGTAATTAAATTGAATTAAAATTAAATTAAACTAAATTAAATTATATTAAATTATATTAAATTAAATGAAAAAGAAACTCAAAAAAAAATTCAAGCTTTTGCAGCTTGTGTAACAAACAAATAAACCATTTCTCCTAATTAATTAATTAATTAATTAATTAATTAATTAATTAATTAATTAATTAATTAATTAATTAATTATTTATTTATTTATTTATTTATTTTTTTATTTTAAAGGACTTGCGGCCCACGTGGAGGCCCGAAGAAGCAGCTGAGGGGCCAAAGTATGTAAACCCGGAGTACTCAGAAGAGGAGAAGGTGAAATAAATAATTAATTAAATTAATTTAATTAATTTAATTTAATTTAATTTAATTATTTAATTAATTTGATATATTTTGTTTATTTTGTTTATTTTATTTGTTATTTTATTTGCAGGAAGAGCTGGTTGCGAAGGAGGAAAAGAAAGAAAAAAAAACAAGTCCCTGGTGAGTCTTTTAAACTAAATTATTTATTTAAACTTTTAAATCTTTAAATGCATTTTTGAATTAATTAATTTAATGAATTAAATCCATTTTAATTCATTTAATTATTTATTATTTAAACTCTTTAAATCTCTAAATGGCATTTTTGAATTAATTAATTAAATTAAATTAAATTAAATTAAATTAAATTAAATTAAATTAAATTAAATATTCAAATTTTCAAATGATTTGTCTTTCAGGATTTGGATTTATTTTTCCCTCATTTGTCCGCCCCTCGTGACTTTGCTGCTGCTGGGCCTCGCGTGGTTCGTTTAGCAGCCATTTTGTCTTTTTAGATTTTTATTTTTATTTTTATTTTTGTTTTTATTTATTTAATTCTTTTGGTTTTAAAAAGCAAAAAATAAAAGAAATTAAAACCCCCTCCAGCGCTCTTCTTTGCGGATTCGTTTGATTCGCTTTTTGTTCAAGTTGAGCCCAGGAGTAGTTCTCGACCACTGCAGTTCAGTTTGGCGATTTGTTCGGATTTTCAGCTTCTTTCTTCCTTCTAAAGCAATTAATTTCTCCTTTTATTCTTTTATTTGTTTTAAAAAGCAAAAAAATGAATTTCTTCGCGAGATTCCGCCGAGTTGGAAAGCTGTGCAAGTTGATCCGGCTGTCGATACACCCGGGAGGCGCCGCGACCCTGCACCGCCGGGTTTCAAAAACTGAAGCCTCGAATTGAATTCATTTATTCTTAACTTTGAATTTATTTAATTTATTTTCAAACAGAATGCAATTCAGAAGCCTCTTCTCCATTTGATCTCCAGTTCGGCCCCGGGGCCGCAGCAGAAACCGCAGGTCTTCCGGAGCCTTTCAAGTCGACGCTTCGTTCCTGTTTTTGCAGATAAGTGTTTTCGAAAGAAAGTTTCTTCCAATAAATGCTTTTTAAAATTAAAAAGAAGAATTAATCTTCAAAAGTGGCTTTTAAAAAGAGCCAAAGAGGAAACAACGCGTTCATTCCGAACCCCCCAGAGTGACCTCCACCGGGGGCTTCCACCGCCAGCTTTCGAGGCTGCCTCTTCCGGAGTTCAACTTTGAGTAATTTGAATTATTTCTTTGAATTTAAAATGCAATTTTATTTCATTTAATTCCTTTTCTGAGAATTTTCTTCTTTTCTTTTCCGCCTCCGCAGCAGCAGCTGCTGCGGGCGCCGCGAGCTGCCTGTACACCCCAGCGGTGTGCCTGCGCCACCCACAAGGCGCAGCTTCTTCGTCACTTCATTTAATTTATTTATTTTTAATTTCATTTCAATTTAAAACCTTTTGCCTTCCTCAAGAATGCACGCCGCGGCTGAGAGGCCCCCGGGCGATCCAGAAGGAGCAGCAAATGCAGCAGCAGCAGCAGCAAGACAGACCCGCAGAGGGAAGCAGCAGCATCTTGCAACTCGCAGCAGCAGCAGCAGCAGCAGCAGCAGCAGCAAACCCCAAAGCGCTGTTTGCCCCAGCAATATATTCAAAGCGTTTGGTCAGCGCGACGCAGAAGGAAACAAACCACAAAACCGCGAGGCGACTGCAGCAGCAGCAGCTGCTGCTGCTGCTGCTGCTGCTGCAGCTGCAGCAAATGCTGATGCGCAGGCAGCAGCTGCAGCACCTGCGGCGTATGCTGATACGCAGGCAGCAGCAGCAGCAGAAGCAGCAGCAGCAGCAGCAGCAGCAGAAGTAGCTGCAGCAAGTACCAGTGTGGACACAGAGGCCGCAGCAACGGCAGTAGCAGCAGATTCGAATGAGCGAATAACAGCAGCAGAAGCAGCAGCAGCAGCAGCAGCAGCAGCAATAGTAGCGGAGCCTAGAATCAGCCACTCCACAGCAGCAAACGAATCAATGGCAGCAGCAGCAGCAGCAGCAGCAGCAGCAGCAGCTAACAGTGTGGAACTATCCCCAGCTGCAGCAAATTCGATCCGCGGTGCAGCACCAGAACCCTCTGCAGCAGCAACAGCAGCAGAAGCGACTCCCCGCGAGAAACTAGCAGCAGCAGCAGCAGAGGAGCTGGCGGCGACAGTCAGCAGCAGCAGCAGCAGCAGCAGCAGCAGCAGCAGCAGCAGCAGCAGCAGCAGCAGCAGCAGCAGCAGCGGGGTGAAGAAGAAGAAGTCGAAAGTGTTGTACTGCTTGTCTTCGACGAAATATAAATTAATTCGAAAAGTCTGCAGCAGCTTTCCCGGCTGGGAAGAATGCCCCCAGGACAGCCAGGACTGGGTATGGCTAGCTAGCCACTCAACCAGCAGCTAGCTAGCTAGCTGGCTAGCTGGCTAGCTATCTAGCTGGCTAGCTATCTAGCTGGCTAGCTGGCTAGCTGGCTAGCTGGCTAGCTAGCTGGCTAGCTGGCTAGCTAGCTAGCCAGAGAGCTAGCCAGGTAGCTAGCCAGTTGTTTGTCAGCTAGCTAGCCAGCTAACTAGCTGGCTAGCATCTGGCTAGCTGGCTAGCTGGCTAGCTAGCTGCTGTAATTAGCTAACTAGCTAGCTAGCTAGCTAGCTAGCTGGCTGGTTAGCTAGCTGGTCAGGTGCCTACGCAGCGAGCCACCGAGGTGTCGAGCTAGCTAGCTAGCCAACCAGCTAGCCAGCTAGCCAGTCCACTAGACACCCATATCGCCACCCAGCAAGCTAACTAGCTAGCTGGCTAGCTGGCTAGATGGCTAGATGGCTCGCAGGCTGGCTAGCTAGCTAGCTGGCTCGCTAGCTAGCTAGCTAGCTAGCTGGCTAGCTAGTGGGCTAGCTAGTGTGCTAGCTAGCTAGCTAGCTAGCTAGCTGGCTCGCTAGCTAGGTAGCTCACTAACCAGCTAGCTCACTACCTAGCTGGCTAAGTAGCTGGCAGAATTGAATAAAACAAAAATGAAACAAAATTAAATAAACCGAAATAAAAAACTGAATTAAATAAAAGAAAAATGAAATAAAATTAAACAAAACAAAATAAAAAATAAAATAAAAAACAAAAATAAAAAATAAATTTGTTTTTAATTCAGGATGTTCTTTGGAGCGACTCTGCAGTGACACCGCAGCAGCTGCTGGCGATGAAACCCTACCAAAAGATAAACCACTTTCTTGGCACTCACGCCATCACGAGGTTAGGGTTTAGGGTTTAGGGTTTAGGGTTTAGGGTTTAGGGTTTAGGGTTTAGGGTTTAGGGTTTAGGGTTTAGGGTTTAGGGTTTGGGTTTAGGGTCTAGGGTTTAGGGTTTCGGGGCTAGGGTTTAGGGGTTACCAAAAGATAAACCACTTTCTTGGCACTCACGCCATAACACACGGTCAGGGTTTAGGGTTTAGGGTTTAGGGTTTAGGGTTTAGGGTTTAGGGTCTAGGGTGTAGGGTTTAGGGTTTAGGGTTTAGGGTTTGGGTTCGAGGGTGTCTACAGCACATAAAAGTAGGAATATTTATCATTTCATTTCCGTTTTTGGAATTCTTTTGAATGTCTGGAAGTCTTTTAATTCTTTTAATTCATTTAAATGAATTTAATTAATTAAATTCTTTTATTTCTTTTTATTTTTATTTATTTTATTTAATTTATTTTATTTTATTTTTCTATTTTATTTTTTTTCAGAAAAAACTTTTTGGCCCGCACTTTGCAAAGCATGCAAATTTACTACCCGGAGGAATACAACTTCTTCCCCCCCACTTTCATTTTGCCAACAGGTTTTTAATTTACTATTTATTTATTTATTTATTTATTTATTTATTTATTTATTTATTTATTTTATTTATTTGTTTGATTAATTAATTAATTAATTAATTTATTTATTTATTTATTTATATTTGATTTTATTAATTTATTTTATTTTGTTTACTTGTTTTGTTGATTTTATTTTCTGTTTTACTTATTTATTTTGTGTATTTTGTTTATTTTGTTTATTTATTTCATTTATTTTCTTTTATTTATTTATTTTACTTACTTGATTTGTTTTGTTTGTTTAATTTGTTTGCTTTGCTGCAAACCTGCTGCTGCTGCTGCTGCTGCCGCTGCTGCTTCTTACTCCACTGCAAACCTGCTGCTGCTGCTGCTGCTGCTGCTGCCGCTGCTGCTGCTGCTGCTGCTGCTTCATACTCTACCGCTCTCGTGCTGCTGCTGCTGCTGCTGCTGCTGCTTTTGCCGCTGCTTGTTACTGCCCTGCAAACCTGCCGCTGCTGCTTTCGCCACTGCTTCCCACTCCACCGCTGCTGCTGCTGCTGCTGCTGCTGCTGCTGCTGCTGCTGCTGCTGCTGCTGCTGCTGCTGCTGCAGACGCAGGGGCGCTGAAGGCGTACAGCAGCGCGCACGCGGGGTGTACGTACATCGTGAAGCCGGAGGGCGGGAGTCGGGGGAAAGGAATTTATTTGACGAAAAGAATTTCAAATTTGATTTTAAATTCAAATTTAAATTCAAATTTAAATTTAAATTCAAATTTAAATTCAAATTTAAATTCCAATTCAAATTTAAATGAAAGAGTTGTTGTTCAAAAGTACATTTCCAAACCCTTGCTGCTCCAAGGCCTCAAGGGCGACCTCCGCCTTTACGTCCTCCTCGCCGGCTGCAACCCCCTCAGGGTCCCAAAAAACCCTAAACCCTAAACCCTAAACCCTAAACCTTAAACCCTAAACCCTAAACCCTAAACCCTAAACCGCAAACGCTAGACCCTTAAGCATGAGCTTTAAAGTCTTGGCCGTAGGCACTGAGCTTTAAATTCTCGAAATCTGGAATACGGCATTTTGAACCCTAAACCCTAAACCCTAAACCCTAAGCCCTAAACCCTGAGTTATAAACACTAGAGCCCGCGCTCTTAGCCCTTTAAACCCTAAACCCTAGAGCGCAAACCCTAAACCCTAAACCCTAAACCCTAAACCCTAAACCCTGAGTTATAAACACTAGAGCCCGCGCTCTTAGCCCTTTAAACCCTAAACCCTAGAGCGCAAACCCTAAACCCTAGAGCGTAAACCCTAAACCCTAGAGAGCAAACCCTAAACCCTAAAAACTGGAATTTTAATCTCCACTCGCTGGAGTGTATGTACACCAGCAATGAATATTCAAATTGACTTTAAATAAATCTTTTCAAAAATAAATTTAAAAGTTTTAAATTAATTTTAAATTCTTTTTAAATAAATGCCTTTAAAGGCACTGTTGCTTTTAAACAAATAAAGAAAAAAGATAAAAGATAAAAGAAGTTGAAAAAGATAAAAACACGAAATTAAACAAATATAAGTGGAAAGTAAAATAAAATACAAAAGAGAGTGAATTCGAAAATAAAATAAACACTGCTGCTGGTAAAATAGAATAGCTACTGCTGCTGCCTTTGCTGCTGCTGCCTTTGCTGCTGCTGCTGCTGCTGCTGCTGCTGCTGCTGCTGCTGCTGCTGCTGCTGCTGCTGCTGGTGGGAAGGCGGCGCGTTGGGGAGCGTGTGCGTTGGGGCGCAGGTGTACGTACACCGGGAGGGGCTGGTGCGTCTGGCGACGCACTTTTACGAAAAGCCGCATTTTTCGAATTTGAAAGATTTGAAAATGCATTTAACAAATTATTCAATTAATAAATTTGCAAAGGAGTTTCGCCAGGCAGCAAGTCCGCAAGAAGACGCGGAGGGGCACAAGAGGAGCCTCCGCCACGTGCTGCAGCGCCTCAAGGCTGCTGTGGGGCCCCACACTTTCTTTTCTTTTCTTTTTTTTTATTTTTTTTTATTTTTTCTTTTTGCCTTCTTTCAACTTCTCCTTTTTCCTTCTCCGCTTTTTTTGCGCTTTCGAATGAGGGGCTTTTTGCCAGGTTGCTGCTTCAGCTTTCATTTGTTGTTTTTGTTTTGCTGCACTTTTTGTCCTTTGCTGCTGCTGCTGCTGCTGCTGCTGCTGCTGCTGCTGCTGCTGCTGCTGCTTTGGGACTTACCCTCGCACCACTTTGCTTTGCTCGCTGCCTTCGCTTGCTGCTCACCGAAAAACCTGCTGCTCCCCTGCTGCCGCTGCTGCTGCTGCCGCTGCTGCTGCTGCTGCTGCTGCTGCTGCTGCTGCTGCTGCTGCTGCTGCTGCTGCTGCAGGGGCGGGACACTTCGAAGGCGGTGGCGAGCATTTGGGACATGTTGGTGAAGACTTTAATTGCCATTCAGCCTTCTTTGGCGCACATTTACAAAAGTTGCAAAAACCAAAAATTCCGAAATGATCTTTCTTTCGAACTCTTCGGAGTTGATGTTCTCCTCGACCACAAGCTCAAGCCCTGGCTCCTCGAGGTCAGCTAGCTAGCTAGCTAGCTAGCTAGCCAGCTAGCCAGCTAGCTAGCTGGCTAGCTGGCTGGCCAGTTGCTGGCTAGCTGTGGGTGGCTGGCTAGCTAGCTGGGTGGCTAGCTGGTTGGGTGGCTAGCTAGCTAGCTAGCTGCCTAGCTGGCTAGCTAGCTAGCTGCCTAGCTGTCTAGCTAGCTAGCTGCCTAGCTGGCTAGCCAGCTAGCTGCCTAGCTGGCTAGCTAGCTAGCTGCCTAGCTGGCTAGCTCATTGGCTAGCCAGCTGGCTAGCTGGCTGGCTGGCCAGCTAGCTAGCTAGGCAGCTGGTTCGCTGGCTCTCTAACTAGGCTCGCTAACTAGCCAGCTAGCTAGCAAGCTAGCTAGGTAGCCAGCTAGCCAGCTACCTAGCCGATTCCAGCTAGCTAGCCAGCTAGCCAGCCAGCCAACTAGCCAGCCACCCAGCCAGCTAGCCACCCAGCCACCCAGCCACCGTG